GACCTCTAACATCACAGATAAAATGGGACCGTGCCCATTTTGTGGATGCCTCTTGTTAGGAGCATTTAAGTATGCATGCGGCTTACCCAGACGACCTCATTTGATGAATGATACCACTTGATGCGGAGCTTGTGGTGCTGACCGACGCTAATCATATAGCAACAATAATAATATTAGTAACAGTAATAATAATAATAGTAATACTAAGAATAGTACTAGTAAGAATAGTCAGATAGTAATAATAGTAATAATAGTAACAATATGTGCTTTCGGGTTCCCTGCTTGTACATGACTTGCCTGTTGAGACCTCGGCTTCGTCTAGTTCTTGATACTGGGGTCCAGTTCCTGGGTTCCATGAAATGAAGGATCCTCCTATAGAGGCGCGCATCACCCATTCGTGAACAAGAATGTCAGCCCCGAAGTACGAACAGCTACGCCAAGGTTGATTCCGGCTGCTGCGTGCAAGGCAGTTTCTAGACTCCTTTACGTTGGGACATTGCTTACCACAATGTCTTTTGCCGGCCTTACCACCACTTGAGGATAGAAGGTAGTCATAGGTGTGTGTCACATGTGCGAGGGTTTATTTAATTTAAGGAGTCTGGACAAAACAGCTGCAGGCAGGAGCTGCCAAACACTCCCGACAATACAGCAGGATGGCGCCTGATTAGCAATCAGCTAGACTAGGCCTTTTCAGGAGGGCTCAACTGCAGGGCTTACCCAAACCTGAATGCCACACTGAGTACATCCGGATTTAGCTGCTGCTAAACAGGTTTTTCAAAACATGGCCTTGCATAGAAGATCGATGCATAGCGCAGTTACTTGTATGGAGAATGATTCTGCAGGCCAGACCCTGGTCAAAAAGACGGAAACAGCAATGGGCTTTCGGACACTCTGGCAGTTTTGCGTGGCACTCATTGTTTCTCTTGACTTCTTTGCAGTAATCGTGATCGCTATTATCCTCATCATGGTTGCGAATCGGGGAAATCCTGCTTGCAAATCGGCAAGAGTGGGGTCGGCCTAACAGGGGCCGTTGCCCGAAGGCAAACACAAGCCCAGGGTCCACTTTGTCAGGGTGAGGTGTCTGGCGTAGCACGAACAACTCAAACTCGGTACAAGAAATGCAGAATCACAAAGTTTCCTGCTGTGCCCGCTTGGATACTACTGCTAAGATTGGATTTCCAAGACGGGGTAGGAGCAATGCTGTGCATGCCGGGGAACTCATGACACTTGCCTGCGGATTAAGTCGACTAGCGGTTCTTCACGTGGTATGGGTATGACGAAGAGGGATGCTAGATTTTCTGAGAGTGATTTGCCGGATTTTGTCGCGCTTCCTCATGTTCACTTGTAAGGCATAAGGGATACGGCTATACGATACTGATACCAGTCAAGCAATTTTCGGCCTCGAAGCTTTTCGGCCTCGAAGCTACTTGTGTCACAGCTGCTGCTGTCAACAGGATAGCAGGACTTTCGACGGGATTTTGTTGAACTGTGTGTCCTGACGCCCGAAATTACATGGTTTGTGTAGTCGCACAATTGCTTTGGTGTATTGAGTGGGGTGACTGAGCCTCGGACACGCTTAACTCCTCATAGGGCGAATGCAGTGAGCTTATGTAGTGAGGGCCACCAAACTCGAGGTTTTGATATGGGCGATCCGATATGTGCGTATGTTCATAGTGTATACGTATAGGGTTTTTTTCTTTAGCACGGTCATGAGTACGAAAAGTGTTGACTGTGCAGATCTCATGCCGAGGGTTTGCAAGTTCCGTTGAAGGACCTGTTAGGGGCTTGAATGTTTGGGACTGCTGTCCAAAGTGAAAGCGAGGTCGTCACTTATTGAAGTCCGCAGCTGGTGACGCAACCAGTTTCAGCGCAGGCGGAGCGAAAAGTTGGGCCTCGAGGCTCAAGACCTGTGATTCAATGATTGCGTATCTTGGGCGTGGTCAGAAAAGCCCCGTGTTATCTGCTTGGACTCCCCTATAGTATATAGGTTATAGGCCCAATGGAACCCCAGTTTTCGGTTCATTGTCCATGTTTGTTTGCTTGTAGTTCTCCGCAGTTGAACCTCTGAGTCCCGCTCCAAACGCGGGCAAGCTCTCGCAGGAACAGTAGCCCTTTGTTTCATGACCTAAGTAATGTTGATGTTGGCCCTTGTGTCATCGTTCAAAAGTCTCTTATGCGGTTTCCTCGCCTTCATGAAGCGACCAAAGACAGACAGAGCGTCATGGGAAAGTCTGACTAAGACAGCAAACAGGTTCACCAGTACGTACCCTAGCAGCTCCAGAATCGCGTCTTGATTAGTCCAGGGTTTCTCTAGGGTCCTGAAAGCTCTCTTTGCCAGATTGCGGGAAGCTCACAACTAATTGGACAGTTTAATCAACATAGATTTCATCTGTCCCGGTACCATTTCATCATACAAGTGGTTTTATTGCACTTTTGCTGGAACCGTTGGATTGCCGGAGTCCCGTCCATGCCTCACAGTTGAGCTGAGGGATATGCAGTTCTGAAGAGCATGGACCTCAATTTGTGCTTGTATAAGACATATGGGAAATGAACTCGTCATGAGATCACACAAGCTCCAGGAGTAGGCGAACCTGAGCCTAAAAACTAAGTTTTGCATCAGAGACTTTTTTTCGGCATGGGCGAAGTGCCAAAGTTGTTCTGTTTAGGCTCTTGATCTTGGAGGTGAATAGAGACTTTCATGGAATTGTCCATGTTGCCGTTTGCTGCGTACAGCAGTGCCTTCCGTACTTCTAGACCAGCGCTTCTTCCAGGGGGTACCTTCGACGACCACTGCACTGGACTGGATGCCTGTAAACGGGCTTTCTGCCCCTTCATCAAGGTGAGCGGGTTCTGCGTGGTACCATGGTAACATGCGATCATGTCTTTTATTGCAACTTAAGTGTCCCAAAACTCAAAACTCTCTAACACACGGAAGTTACAGTCTGCAAGTAGCATGAAGTTGAAGGTCGTGGCGCAGGTGCAAGCTCAACGGAATGGAGACGTGCACCTCATGGGCTATGTGGTCAGCGCTTCATTCCTGGCCTTCGTAGGGCGGCGTCAGCGAACAGAGCTTGTCAGAGCTGCCAAGCGTAAGGCTTCTTCTTGTGAGCAGCTAGAGTTTCTTTCTTTCTGAGTTGGATCTTTGCTCACGTTCCCGCAGCAAAGTAACCAAATGACTGCTTCAGCTACCTAGGCCAATCGCACGCAGGTCATACGCAGCGGGTTGGAGGTGATGGAGCTTTTGGTGGATGCAGACACGCATGCAATACATGAGATCGAGAGCGCTTTGCAGATCTTGCAAAAACCTGGAAGAAGCTGAATACCACCCTTTTTGCTGAGCCTGCACGCAGCAGTAACCAACGATGGCGCAAGTTCATCCAGAAATATTGTGTGAATTTTCAAGCAGTTAAGCCGATTGGAAGGTACACAGATCCCGGCGACCTGGCTATTACACGGAAGCTGCTCGAATTGGTTGCCATGCCTGACGTCGCCACCAGAATCGCCTTGCTGACATCAGACACAGATTTTGTGCAGATCATGCAGGAAATCACGGACTCAGGGAAGAGCGTGCTAGCCGTTATGCCAGAGGAGTACGAGGGAAACATACGCGAATATGACGCTGGACTGAAACTGATTATGTGAAATCGTCGTTTTGCCGAGCTTTCGCAAGCAACCTGCAAAGTCTCACACCCTTAGATACGCTCTGCAAAGTTGAAATGCTTTACCCGGGCCCCAAGGAGATGGCCGGGATCAAAGTTCTGCGACTGCCACGACGAGACAAGTTGACCTATGCAGTTCAGGCCGTTCTGCATGCTGACGGAAGCTCGGGTCTTGCGAAGAGGGTACTCTCCATGCATAATTTTGGCTTGCTGGACCATGCCATCGTCCATCTGATACTCTGAGTCATATCCGTCTGACCACTAAGCATCAGCAATAGAGCCCAGGAAGTGGATCTGTGAAAAGATGCCCACCATACGCGCCCCTGCCTCTTGACGAGAAGGCACCCATGGTACAAGACTTTCTGAGCCTTGGCTGGGATCCCTCAGGAAGCTGCCCCAAATAGCTCTTTTGTCATTGGCCCTCTTAGCAACTCCCGCAAAGGCGTCGGTGGAAGTACAGCTCAGGTGGCCTGGCGGCGTAGCCAGAATCTTTTGCATGTTTTTTTGGGCGGAGGCTGAGCAGTTTTGCCACCATCTAGCACAGCTTCACGATTCAGGAGCCTTTGTATCTTCAAAGTATGTGGGCAACCCCCCTGAACCCTTTTCCTCGCAGCTGGGGGTACTAGGTGAGAAGGCCTTCATGGCGCCCTGCATTGCAAAATTCTGGTTCACAAATCAGCTGGGCTCTTTGACCGTCTGGCCGACATCTTCTTGCATCGAGGAGATGTATCATGCCATCCTGCAAGGCGCTGGAGCGGGGAACGTTTCTTGCTCCTAACATCCTTTGCCCTCATGCATGTGGAGTTGTTGTCGTACCGTAATTTGCGCGCGGACGCACCGTAAACCCGATTGGCAAGGCGAAGGCCGAGCTTGGGAAGCCTATCAACAAAAGTTCGCATATTTGCTGCCGCTTTGTTCTGGGAGTGCACCTCCCAGGCAGGGTTCAACAAGCGTGGTTGCCTGCAGTACGTTGTTTCAGTACGGGGGCTGGCTTTGGGAAGCTCGGGGCAGTGCACCCTTCAATCAAGTTCAAGCACAGGTGATTCTGTAGTCAACAGTGAGGATACGTGCGGGATGCCACTCCCTATCACAGGGTACGCAAGCTTTCTCATGACGGTATCCCTTACGCCAAGCCAAGCCTGCCCGTGAGGAAAAAAACGCAGAGAGTTTGGAAGCAAGAAAGCCTGGATTGTGGGACGAAGCCCTGGCCCCGTCCTTCTGAAAGACAGCCACCAGCTAGCTCAGCGGGTCTTGGCAAAACTTGGATATCTAGACGACGCCCTGAATTCTGATCTCAAGGAAGCCCTCAAGGTATTTGCCAACACTAGCAGAAACAAGAGGATGCTACGGAAGCTGGGAGAGTTGCCAAATCATGACGACAGCGCTGCGGAAGTATGCCGCCACCTTAGATCCGCCTTGCTATCCAGTCGATCAAGCGGGCAGTGGCAGCTACCACCGTCAGACATAGCAGTGCGGAAACTGCTGCTGCGCAGCAACATGGTAGACAAGATATCCGCTTCACGTGAGCAAATCATGCATGCCATGCGGCGGCTTGCTGCAATGAACGGACTGCCCACAATGAAAACATACAATGGTTTTCTCTGGCAGCTGCTTTTGACACTAAACCGCAACGATCCCCAACGCAGAGATGCCTGTGACAAGGTGTGGTGATGGCCTCCTGGAAAGCCCGTTCGCAAAAGCTCTTGTCCCATGTGCTACTGCTGGTGTGGCGGTTGATGCCAGCAATTTCATGTCGCGTGACATCCTGCTGGGAGCTCAAGGCGCAGAACTTTGCTGGTGTCGCTGAGAAAAACAAAATGATATTCTTCCCGTCGCGGCGTTTCTGCCAGTAAAGGTCAGGGAATAAATGGATTCGTGTCTCAAGATGACTGGCTATCGGGATTCGAGGAATTTCCCTTGTTATGAATTCCGAGTCTCAGGGGTTTGACATGCTTGCCCTGAATTCATCAGCATGACATGCTTGCCATGGAATCGCATGCTTGACATAGTCTTGCCGCGGACCTAGCCCTGTAGCCCCCATGACTGAGGTATTGTTGGGAATTTATGTTTAGTTTGTATGGACCATATCCCTGTATAATCTTATATAACCCTCCAAGTCTCAAAGATCAAGTTTCTATGGCCCCTAAGTCTATCCCAGATGATAGCATGCCGGGCGTGAGAGTGAGGAGCATGGAGTTGCCATGGAAAAGCTCGCACGCCCAGCTTCATGTTCCCAAAGGGCCCAAGATTTCACGCAGCCTCGGCGCAGCTTGAAAAGGGGTTCTTGAACTAGTTATCTATGGTTGTCAAAACACTTGTTTGATTGTCGCTGGACTTTGCCTGTCATGTCAGCCAGAATGAGCAAAAAGCAGCTATAAAATTCAGCTTTAGACTTCGTATCCTGAGTTGTTTGCACGTTTCTCTTGTTATGTCACCTTTGCTCTGCGACTGCAAAGAACATGAATCCGTTCAGCCTGCTGCCCCACAAAAGTACGCCGCATTTGGAATCATATTCCTTAGCCGGCGTAAGTGGGCCACGTTTTCAAGACACATCGTCACGCTTTTCCTTACCTTTGGTTCGCTAGGAATCCATTTTCTGTTCCATTCCTCCATTCAGAGCTAACCAAAGGCCAGTTTCTGGCAGACCGTGATCTGCGGCCCGGTGGCTTTTGATCGCCAGTGCTAGCCATGCAAAGTCTTTTAGGGTTTAGGCATGTTTAGGCTAAACCTGACTGTTCCTTTTCCCTTTGCAAGGCAACAAAAGGAAACATTCGCCAGCTGCGGCCAGTGTATCAATATTTGGAGTCCGTGCCCCTCGTGACGTCTTACTCCCAGCAGCCCATTTTGGCTGGGGTAGGCACTTGCGAAATCCATTCTTTCAGCTGGTGCTCGGAGGGTAGACCGGTACACCAAGCGGCAGAAGACCCTGAAACTAAAGCATGCATACATACCGCAGAATCTACGGAACTTATCAAGAAGTCCTCGAAACCTAGACCAGCTTCTCACAGACCTCAAGGGCCGTTGCTGATGGAGAGCCCCGGGCTGCGCTAGGCCACCAGCTTGCAGTAGTTAAAGGGTTATTTAGATATGATATGATCAGTATAGAGAGATATCACGTCGTTTGCAGTGCATCGCAATCTGGGTGGAATGACAGTTCCCAATTGCAATCTGTGCGGTCTAATGGAGCTGAAGGGTTCGGTTGAGTCTTTGGATAGCTCGGCTTGAGCTTTGGGAGGCGTAGAATCCAGAACATGCTCATGTTCCCTAGAATGCTTGAGGGGGCAGCTTATGTTAAAGCCACTGGGGAGGTTCTTACTAGTTTGTTAGGTTCATAGGGGTTACATAGGGTTTGGGGTGTCGTGGAGAAGCGGATGGAACAAAACATATTTAAAAAAAAAAATGGAAACTGGGGTCTTATGGAGGGCTAGTAGGAATACCGTAATTTCTGACATCATCCTAGATTCCTTGTACAACTCAATTTTAAGATCCCTAGGTGTGACAGCACACGGCAGCATACGGTATGTGGAGGTCTGTGCAGAGAGTATTCGTAAAGCGTCTGCAGAGTATGAAGTGTCTCAGATTCAAGGATTCCCTTCCGCCGTTCTTGCAAGAGTCCTGTAAGAAGGGCTTGCACATTTTGGGGTACAAGGCGGCTTCTGTGATGTGACGTAAAAGGTTTACGGGAAGCGTGCGAAGAACTTTGCAACTATGCGAGCACAAGCATCACTGTGAGAAGACCGAGTCAGGGCCGCTCTTCCGATGCATGAACTTTTTTGCTGGAAAGAGATATGAAGAATATGCGCTAGAAATCGCTGTTTATAAATATGGTTCCAGAAATTAGAAGCTCATGGCAAAAAGGCGGCATGATATGACCCAGGCAGAGTCGTCGTCGAGCCTGCGCCAGGGTTCTGCTTTTCTTTTTTTTCAACCGGGCCTTGCAAAAACGGCTGTATTGTGGTTTCCAAGTGCATCCAAGTTCTAGCACGGTGGTTGTCTGGAGGAGTTATCCAAATCTGGAATGGAAGTTTGAGAGCAAAAGCGTGACACCTTGGCGAACAAGTTTGACGGAGATGTAGCCGTTGGCAAACTAGCAGCAGCAGTGTGCTTGGTTTTCTCGGTTCATCGTAGCAGCAAACGTTCGAGGCCCACGTACTGACGACTAGCATGCAAACGTTTCCTGAGCCGGAATAGAACAAGGAGAGGAAATGCAGGCTCTTCACCCACCCTTGGATCCTTGAAGCCATGCCTGACTGGCTGAACTATTCACTTTCTGGGGGCCTGGGAGCTCAAAGTGCACACCGTTCCGTTCGAGCCTTACACTGGAGCCTGGTGTTGCGCGACCCCGGCCTGCATTGCCGGATCCTCATCCCAGCGAAAGACTTGTGTTGAATGTGTTTTGGAAGTCTCCGAGACCTGGACTTTTGAACGGAACAGTAGCAGGATGTAGCAGGATTAATTTCGCCGGCTGTTGCAAACACAGGCCCGGAAAGAACTAGAAGATGCTCTCAAACACGTAGAAGGCGTACCGAGCATAAAGGTAAGTTCTAGACCGTAATCCCAACCGCAACCCTAAGCCCAACTCAAACCCTCAACCCACAGTTCATGACTCAGGCGCGCGAAGCCTGCCGGTCTGCCGTGGGATGGGCTGCGGCTGCCATGAGCTCGCTGAAGGAATCTCCGTGCGTGTTGAGCGCGCCCAGCTGTTGTTGCTCCTCAAGACTTACTCGATTTCGAACGAATGAAATGTCAAAGTACGGAGGCGCGAAGAGCATTTGGGCTCGTAGGACGTCCAGAGTGGCAGGAATCGTGTGTCTCTTCGCCTAGTAGTTGTTTAACGCCTTTAAGTGTGGGAGGATTACAAGCTTGCATGCGGTCATGGGTGTCGTTCCTTTCGTAGTTGCCCCTGCTGTCTGAGCAAATTGCTCGCTGGAAGCGAAAGCCTTCAAAGAATAGACAACCTATCCTGCAGGCCGGGTCTTACCCTCTCCTCGAATTGCTGACAACTTTCTTTTCCAATCCCAAGCTGTAGGACAATGCCGCTCCGAAAAGTAATCACACTTAGAGACTGGGGTCCCCGTAATATTTTAAAACAGTCCTCCACAGACCCTCAACCCTCAGCAGCTGACTCCTGCACTGTTTTGTCTGGAAATTGGGCTGCCCTTCAACAAGCCGCATTTAAGACATCTAAAACTACATTCCTAAACCGAACCCTTAGACCGCCAAACCCTAAGATCTGGCAACCTGGAAGGAGTCCCGGGCGTTGATATCAGTCCACGGCAGAGCATCGGAGTGGAAGTCAGGGTCTCAAAGAGTGTCTCTTAGGGACTCAGGATTCATTGTCCCGCAAACTAACAGGGCAGCCCAAAAGGGCCCTGCAAAGGCTGCTAGCTTGTAGTTTGGATTTCCAGATAAGCTTTGCAGCAGGGTTTGGGCAGTTGACTGCTAATGTGAAGAACCTATCTACATAGTGGGATCTTTTTTTGATAGTGGCGAGATCTAGAAGCGCAACAGTTAAGGCAGGAGGGCTGTCAGCAATGAGCTCAGACTCTTGAGGAGAAAACTATACTGTCACTAAGGCCATGGTTTTCTTACAAGCTGGACATTTCTGGCTGGATAAGGCTCATGAAGCCCTGCCCGCCCGAGCCATAGACATATTGCATACACAAATGTGCAAATACATACAAATACATGTATATACATGTGCGCCAACCCCCCTCTCTATATACTCGCATATACATATACAGAAAGAAGCGCGCAGCAGCATTTGCAAAGTGCTTTTCAGACCTCAAAGTCCAGGTTCAACTGGCAAAAGGTTCACAGCTGCTGTGAGGCATGCTCTGGCAGAGTTCGCCGCCTTGACAGGGGCAGGTGCGCGGGCTCGTGTCTTCGTCTCTGGCTGTTAGAGAGCACCTTGGGACGTAGATTTGGCAATCAGGCCGTCTGGTTTGCTACAGGCGTGCAAGTCTATGGTTGAGAGTGGTGGATACAGGGTTTAGGGTTTGATTGGAAACTTCAGGTTCAAGGCAGCAAAAAGCTGGATTCACAAGAACAGCTTCAGCTCAACGCCAGTGAAGTCAAGTGGCAGCATCACGTCGTTTTTGTTCCTTCATTCTTGTTAGGATCCCGTGATTGAGGTTTTCTTGTTGGCCGGGCCCTCATGACGGGGCACGTATGGTAGATATGAGTCTTACTGGTTTGCTGTTAAGGAACTTAAATTGAGTTACTATAATAAGGAAACCTTAGAGTTGAAGGACGAGGGATTACCAATCCAGTAGCCATAGACACTTTCTCAACCATTTGTAAGCATCGTCCCGCGTACAAACTAGAATTACAGTACCCCAACGGCACCTGAAGTTTCCGGGAAAGGTTCCAAGTGGTTATGGGTGGGTTTACAGATGAAGTTTGGTTGGTTTCCTGATTCAGCCAGCACCATTGACGAACCCCACCAAAGGCTCCAGGTAAGGCTAGGAATCTCAGCTTCCATGACAGGTGTGGAGGTCGATACCAAGCTTTTCAACGCTGCCGCGGCAGCCTGCTCACGAGGCAGAGAGATGCATAACAGAAGGGACGGCAGGGACGATGTGCAGCATAGCTGCGTAAACAGAAAATTCTCGGACGCCACGAGAGATTAGGTCTGCTGCGCTTGGGGCTGACTTCGATACTGCTGCGCT